GTTCTCGAGGTGGCGAGAAATTTATAAAAGAAGAGTATTTTGGCCTGTGGTATAGGCCCTTTAGGGAGCCAATATGGTGCTGAGCCCCTCTGTTTTGCCGCCAAAACTGTGTGACGTCAGTGGCGCCAGATTGGTCACCGACAGCGACGTGGCACAGAGAGCCAATGAAAACCTCTCTTGGCAAGTATGACGTCACGAAGGAACGGGGGTCTGGTCATCGCGCCGGGGTGGCACCACCAGTCTGAGACAGCACGTCAAGGTCGGACATGCGCTGGGGGTGTCCTGTCAGTTGGACAGTTTACCCCGTCTCCGGAGGACTTACGCATCACCAGCGGTCTGACAGCACCTGTGGGGTCTTCCTTCGTTCATGTGTTGGACCAGAGAGGGGATTGACAGAATATTGAGCAACAAGTGCTCCCGGGACAGGTGTTGTGCAGGTGAAGTCTAGGCAGCAATGTATGCGACGGCTGATAGCTTCACAGTGATGACGTAGTGGCTGGGCCAATCCTCCGTGAGGGAATCATTCTGACACGACACGTCAAGATGGACGGATGTGTGAAGGATGGTCATGTCAGTTTGACAGTTGAACCCCGATCCCGTGGATCTTACGCATCACCCGTAGTCTGCAAGTACGCCGAGAGGTCTTCCTTCTTTCCATGTGTGGACCGAAGAGGGAATTGACGGAATATTAAGCATCAAGTGCTCCAGGTTCGGGTGCTGTGCAGGTGAAGTCTAGGCAGTATCGTCTGGGACGTCTGATAGCTTCACAGTGACAACGTAGTGGCTGGGCCAATCCACTGGGAAGCAGTGAAAGAAGATACTAATTGGGAATCCGAACGACTGCAGCCGAGAAGTAGGTTGGCAACCGTAGTTGGGAGGAGAAGTTGACGGCCGGGAGACCAACTTCAACCCTACAAGACGTAGAGGAGGAGCACGGACCCGTGGAGGACAGAACACGGAGACGACGCGTTTATTTTGGGACATTGATTGGGTTCCTGGAGGACACGACAGGGTGTGTGTGGGGGCGTTCCCTACACGAGGCAAGAGCCTGGACCAGGAGCTACAACTCAACTCTCACCAGAGGATAGGTGGAAGTAGGTGATTCTAGTTTCCCTCTCAATTCCCCTTTAGTCAGCTATATATTTAGCCAGAGTATCTTTCACGTCGTGAGCAAGGCTCATTTATGTCTATGTCACGGTAGGACACAGTTGTGAGAAGTGGGGCTGTAGAAAGCTCTCACAGGATATATTTGTGGTGTGGATGCACCCGTATTATTATTGAAGAGTTTGCTGTGTTAGTTGATAATTTCTTTCATGTGACATTTATGGTATAACTTATGCCAGAGAATATATATATATATAAAGTGAACCAGTTATTGGTGTTAGGCTGTATGCCCAGTATTTATCTTATTATTATTGATTGATCTACATATATATATGCTTGTGTATTGGATGACTTTCATGTGTATAGTTTTCTATGTCATTGCCATCTACGTGAACTACGGTGTTGAAGGATAGTGCAGTCTCATAACATTTATTACCATTACCGTGAAACTACGGTGTTGAATGCGTTACTGTGAGCTACTGTGTATCATTATTATTATAGAAATATGTGATTGAGCTCAAGATCAATGCAGTGATTCCTTTGCGTTCTATTGCCATTGTTGCAAATATTGTGTTAGTGTGTCAATACAGTACAGTGATTCTCGAGAATTTAAAGAAACAGGCGCCTCACGCCAGACAAACAGATAAACGAACATTCGCGCGGTGAGAATCGCTCAGCTGATTTTGACATTTGACGCGGGGGGGGGGGGGAGTGTGTTGCCATATAGATATGCCCAAATTATAGATGAAGAGAGAGCGACTTCTGCATTGTACTTGTTCGCCTGTGGATATATGAATATGATATCTTGAATTTTAAGTAAAATACAAAATTCCTTCTCGTTTGCATTACTCCTCCATAATTCTTGCTGCTACTTAACCACTGAAAAGGTGAGAGTGATAGAGATACATACCTGCCTGATATTAGATTTATTTAGTATGCTCTTACCACTGTTATCACAATTTCACCAAACCACTTCCGCGTTACTGGACACAGGAAACACCAGTTGGCGACCTTGCAGATAGTATTAGAGCACTTGTTGGGGCGGGCACACAGTGGAGAGAGCAAACTGTGTCTCTACTCATCTCTAACTACTACGGCCGGTTGGGGATCGACTGGGGTACTCTCCTGGCGTACAGTGGCGCCGCGAGGATGGAGTGAAGACCCGCAGGGCTACTGTGAATAACGGTTATCGCTAATAATCGCCTTAATCAACCAGCAAGAATAGTGCGACCGTTGAGAGGACATCTTGTATTCTGTTGCTCACCCTCTTACGGTGAACCCCGACACTACTCTGTTGTTTTTCCTGATCGCACTTAATTATATGTGTCGCTTACCTCCGGAGACTAGCATCTTTACAGCAGAGCTTTATGCTATTCTCTATGCTCTTCGTCTCCTGCTTTCTCATTGTCAGTCTTCCTTTGCGGTTGTTGTTGACTCTCGTAGTGCCCTCATGGCTCTCGGGTCCTTTAATCTGGTTCATCCAGTAGTTGTCGAGATCCAGCATTGGCTGTTTCTTGTTTACAGTAAATTTAAGTCGGTTGAGTTTTTTTGGGTTCCCAGCCATATTGGTGTGTCTTTAAATGAGCGTGCGGATGCTGCCGCCAAGGAAGTAAGTAGTTATCAAAAGAAGGCACCAAACCGGGAAGGCTATGTAACACCATCAAATGCGCGGAATAATCAGAGGGCGCTAAATATCACCAAGGATGCCAACACGAGAACAAAAACGCATAAGGCGAACGATATCAAAAGTATCAGAGTCACCAAGAATTCTATTGAGGGACAGGTGATGCCGCCAAGGAAGCTGTCCGCTCTTGTCCCATCTCTCGTAAAGGTATTCCATATTCCGACTTTTACCCGGTTATCCATTCCTCCGTCCTTACCCGTTGGCAGGCTTCTTGGTCGTCTGTTACTGGTAACAAACTACGTACTCTTAAATGTTGTGTTTCCTCGAGGCCGTCCTCCTACCACCGTAACCGGCGATGGGAAACAGCTCTGGCGAGGTTGCGTATTGGCCATACTCGCTTAACCCATGGTCACTTGATGGAGCGCCGCCCTGCTCCTTATTGTCCTAGTTGCATTGTCCCTCTTACGGTCGTGCATGTCCTTTAATGTCCTGACTTCCAGGACGAGCGTGTGTCTTGCTTTCCGACAGCCCCCTCGCGGTCGCCTGTCCCTCAATAGAATTCTTGGTGACTCAGATACTTTTGATATCGTTCGCCTTATGCGTTTTTGTTCTCGTATTGGCATCCTTGGTGATATTTAGCGCCCTCTGATTATTCCGTGCATTTGATGGTGCTACATAGCCTTCCCGGTTTGGTGCCTTCTTTTGATAATTACTTACTTATCTCAGGTGGTTTTGAGCCGTGCTGATGTGGTGCACCCAGCCTCCTTACCTCATAACCTAGTCAGAGTGCCAAGGCATGACAATCTTTCAAGACTGTTGGCTCCTGGTTCAAGAGTAACAGGGCCTTCTCTGGGAAATTACCCCTACATTGGCAGTGTCATAGTTCAACTGGTGCTCCCCACAAAGGTTTCATTGCCTTCTTCAATTCTTAAGAGGTTCTGGTGGCACAGCTCTCCCTCATTAGGTGATGTTTTCCTAGTCATCTGGCAGAGGACCACAATTCTTTCACAGAGCTTTCAGTGCATTTTGGGATAAGGACCTCAGGTGGCGTGGTGTTCATGGGTGCATCTCAACTCTGTGGTCCTTGGTTACTGGTTCTGAGTTTTTTTTGTTAAGCACAGAGGATTTCACATTTCATAAACTCCATCACAGTTTGAGCTCCGTTCAGCTTCATGGTAGTCTGCAAGTTTTAGTTTCAGTGCCGAGAGTGGTGGCTCGTTTGGCCCTGGCAGAAGTGGTATCCCCCTCCTATGGGAGGGGGATATCGAGCTGTACCCCTTCCCCTTCTATGGAATGTGGTGGTGGGCTTTTTCACCATTTGTTTGGCATGTCAGTGGACTGTGCTTCCCAAAATCAAGAGTCAGCTTGATCTGTTTCTACCTTGTCCTTTTATCCTCTCTTGTTCCCAGAGGAGATTGTATTGGTTCTTTCAGTGTGTCTTAACTTTTCAGCCTTAGAACTTGGGTCATTTCATGGCAGGGTTTTGTCCCTATCAGTAGGATGTAGTGATGGCAGTTTCTGAAGCCTTTGTGCTGCCTTCAACTTCAGCTGTCTTCCTATTGGCAGTGTTCTGCTGTCCTACCTAGTGCTCAGGGATGTACAACTCCCCTGCAAACAGAAAGATGCCTTTTGTACTCAAAAATATAATACTAAAGATGGGTTTGAAGATAAACCAAACACATTTCTCTGGTGACACCTCATCATTAAGCATAGGTGTGGCAGCCTTCAAACTGAACCAAGAAGCATAAGACAGTCTTTCCTCATTTGAAAAATACCAATATGACTGGGTACTCAGCAAAACTTGTTTGTATTTACTGAAAATGTGACACTTCCAGTAATGGATTTCTATAACAAAAGAATAGATATTCAAGATTAAATAACCATTAAGAAACTTCCCGAGTCTATAATAGCTATTTTAGTAATAGTGGTACAAACTTTTTAACAGCCCATAAAATTGTACCTAGTTCAGCGATATAAAGACTTACTTTCAAGGCATAAAGATGCTCTAATACAAGTCATTCATGGCTGTACCAAACAACCTCATAGGAGACATATATATTTACTCAGGTTTTCAACTGCTGCCACTCGGCCTTGTCATTATCCCCATCCATTGTTCATGTTCAGTCCTCATTTCTTCACTCAAAATATCTGCCCATCATTGAAATAAATATACCTGTATTAACAAAAATTAAAGCAACGATATAGAATAGTTTAAAACGATTTAATTACTCTGCCTTTTAAATTCATTACAAATGACAAATAAAACAAAGTATTATTCTGCCTTTTTAATATTGACTATAAATATAACAATGCTTGGACAACATGATGTCAATATACCGATAAAATGAAATGAATAATGATGCAGCCCCTCTCTGCCCCCTGCACATTACTTTTCCAGGACCATGTACTCCACCATTCATAAAGCAATACTGCTAAACCACTTAACCAAATTAATACATAAGGCAGTCTTCAAACATTTATACATATGGTATTATGACTGCTAGACATTTTTAACAGAACTTTATGGTACAGATATTATCAGGGGTCCCAGTTGTCATTGTGGCCAGACAACAGTGCAGCAAGAAATGTTCAACAGATGGAGAGGAAGAGCTGGGTGAGGGAAGGTGGGGTTAGATGCTGCACCACACTTCCTTCTCCTACATCAATTGTATCTAAATTTGTATTGTTCTTTAAAGATGGTTTCTAGTTATTTCTATAACAAATCTAGGATCATGTGTATTTGTTTCACAAAAAGGAGTATTAAATCATTATCATTAAAAACCACTTCGAATGTGCTCTTCTGAGGATTCAATACACAGCACTATTTAAATATATTTTTATATGAAAATTTAAATGCATACAAAATACATGGTGCACCATGTGTGGAACCATCACTACTGACGAGTCGCTGTGATTACTGACTGGACACTTCATCTGTGTGTGAGTGTCGACCTTGATAGTGGACACATTCAACACATTGTGAATAAAATAATATGTTAAAATTACAAAGCCAGTTTTCTTTTGTCCTATGGTTCCAAACTTGTGGAACACTGTATATTAGCATAATTTGTTTATTATGGTATAATAAATCCATCTCTTGAAATTCTATATTAGCTTGCAATTCTTTTAAGTAATAAGTTAACAGGTTATGGGAATAAAGAAGAAAACACAGGCAGAATACAGCAGCATCAACACCCCAGAGCCTCCACCACCCAAAATATGAATATGAATGATGACCAGTGATCTCGTGCACTTAAAATCCTTTTTTCCATCACATATTAATTTATAAGCACTGCATGGCTCAAAATTTCTGGCCTGGGGCCGGAGCTGCATCTTGATAATGTTCACAAGCACCATTAAGGTGACTTTCAGTTTTGTTTACCTTCGCCTTTACCTTCCGTGTCAAGGAAGAAGTAATTGCCCGAGTTCTTTTGCTCGGCATCCTTCTGGCTACAGTCCTTATTGATGCGAGGCCTGAAGTTGTTAGGATCTCGACGGAAAGTGATGCCGAGCATTTCTAAGAATTTGTTCATCCCCGATACCAACGTTTGTGGTGCATTAGCAACTGTTTTTACAGAGGCAGAACCTTCAAATACTATCACCCTATCAGCTAGGTAAGTAGCCATAATGAAGTCATGCTCCACAACAAAAGCTGTTTTCTTGGCATGCATGATGAATCTCTTAATCACTTTTGCAGCAGCCAAACGTTGTTCAGAGTCCAAGTATGCCGAGGGTTCATCAATTAGATACACTTCAGCCGGGATTCCCAGACAGAGAGTCAAAGCCACTCGCTGCAACTCTCCTCCAGATAGATGCTGAACTTCTTGGTCAAACAACTCCTCAATCTTCATTGGCTTCATGACATCTGTCACAAACTGAGGATGCACATATGCATCACGAATTTTTTCATGCAGTAGTTGGCGCACAGTGGATTGACTCTTGGGGCTGATCTTCTGTGGTTTGTATGAAATGTGTAACTCTGGCAGTTCTGACTTTCCTTCATCTGGATCTAGCCTCCCTGCAAGCATCCTGATGAAAGTAGTTTTTCCTGTGCCATTTTCTCCAAGGAGAACCATGATCTCAGAGTCAGTGAAGTTGCCAGCATCAACAGTCAACTCAAATTCTCCCAACTTTTTCACCATCTGAGGATACTTAAAGCGACACATTCTCTTAATTTCTTCTTCACTCAGTTGATCAGAAACTTTGAAAGTTAGTGATTCTTCTCTAAATCTAAGATTTTCTGTTGGGACAAAACCATCAAGGAAAACATTTATACCTTCTCTTACAGAGAATGGCACTGTGACAACGCCATATGCACCTGGCTGACCGTACAAGCAACATATAAAATCTGACAGGTAATCTAGAACAGCCAAGTCATGCTCAACCACTACCACATAATTGTCAGCCTTCACCATGGAACGTATAGCACGGGAAGCATTCAAACGCTGTTTAACATCTAGGTAAGATGACGGTTCATCATACATGTATATATTGGCACCCTGAATACAAACCATGGCAATGGCAAACCTCTGAAGCTCTCCTCCTGAAAGATCTTCAATGTTGCGATCCAAGACATTTCGAAGGTCAAGTACATCAAGCATTTCATTTAGGTTATCATGGTCATTCTTTTTATTAAGAAGATCTTTTACAGATCCTTTAACAGCCTTAGGAATCTGGTCAACATACTGAGGCTTGATAATAGCCTTCAAGTCATCCTCCAGGATTCGTGTGAAGTAGTTCTGTAACTCATTGCCCCGAAAATATGTTAAAATCTCAGTCCAGTCTGGTGGATCTGAAAACTGTCCCAAATTAGGCTTCAACTTCCCTGCTAATATCTTCAGAGCTGTTGATTTCCCAATTCCATTGGTGCCCACAAGCCCTAGGACCTCACCACGACGAGGGACTGGCAGCCTGTGAAGCTTAAAAGAATTCTTGTTGTAACGGTGAACAGTTTCTTTCTCAAGGTTACTAGGCAAATTGATAATCATGATGGCTTCAAATGGACATTTCTTCACACAAATGCCACAACCAATGCAGAGCTCTTCACTAATGGATGCCATCTTGTCATTTGGAGTAACTTCAATACAGAGCTTACCCATACGCACTACAGGACAAGACTTCTTGCACTCTTGTCGACATCGTTTGGGTTTGCATTTTTCTGTATTAACAATGGCAATACGAGTCTGTTTCTCGTTGTCATCCTGCTTCTTACGTGGAGGCATCTTGACAGCACGTCAGTCACTGTAGAAATAAATTACAAGTTTAAAATTTAGGCATTTATCATTTTCAGCAATTTAGCAAAACAAGATTTAACCCTATTAATTATAAAGTATAAAACTAGCATTGACTGTAATGAAATGTCTTTCTGGTAGAGGCTTGATGGCTCCCTGGAGCTATCTCGTTGAGATGTCTTCCTACTACTGGTTACGTAAGTCACAGGAGTCTTCTTTGGCCTACCAGGGACCTGAGCCAGAACCTGGCTCCCCTCACGGAGGCACAGACCCCAGGGGAATATTATTGTTACCTTCACCAGGAAAGTGTCCAGAAAGTCAGCAAAGTGTTAAAGGCAACTGTTAAGACTCATAGAAAATGAAGCATCAAAACTGCCAAAGGACTCTGCAAACAATTCGGATGGAACAATTATAACAGATAGCTGCCACCACCAGGTAGGGAAGGAGTCAGGGAGTCACCTGGTGTGAGAATGGATTTTGACAGCTGTCTTATGTTGTGCAAAGTGAGTGCATGATGACAGTTGGATCTGTGAGACATCAAGAGTGCACGGAGTGAATGCACTCAATCAAGTTTTGTTAATTCAAGATTTAAGTTTACCATGTTGGATATCTACAGGACACCCATGTTAAGAGGAGGCCACAGTTATTGTAAGGGCCATTGCATGTTTAGTCATTAATTAATCCCCTTCTTGACCAGTCTAGCTGAAAATTCAGCATCCATCACAAGAACCTTATGATCAGAGAGCAGAGCCATGTAGGAGGGTAGATGTCAGTTCCATGCCGGCTCAGAGAGATCCACCTTCAGGTGACTGAACATCTCTCAACACTAATCGAAGGGTGTGTCGTTGACGGTCCACTTCATGGAAATAGGATGGAAGCAAGACAGTCCACGAGAACATTAGACATACCCACACCCCAAGTCAACATAGATTTAGAGTGGGAAAGTAAGTAAGTAATTATCAAAAGAAGGCACCAAACCGGGAAGGCTATGTAGCACCATCAAATACGCAAAATAATCAGAGGGCGCTAAATATCACCAAGGATACCAATACGAGAACAAAAACGCATAAGGCGAACGATATCAAAAGTATCCGAGTCACCAAGAATTCTATCGAGGGACAGGTGACCGCGAGGGGTGGTCGGAAAGCAAGACACACGCTCGTCCTGGAAGTCAGGACATTCAAGAAGGACATGCACGACCGTAAGAGGGACAATGCAACTAGGACAATAAGGAGCAGGGCGGCGCTCCATCAAGTGACCATGGGTTAAGCGAGTATGGCCAATACGCAACCTCGCCAGAGCTGTTTCCCACCGCCGGTTACGGTGGAAGGAGGACGGCCACGAGGAAACACAACATTTAAGAGTACGTAGCTTGTTACCAGTAACAGACAACCAAGAAGCCTGCCAACGGGTAAGGACTGAGGAATGGATAACCGGGTAAAAGTCGGAATACGGAATGCCTTTACGAGAGATGGGACAAGAGCGGACAGCTTCCTTAGCGGCAGCATCCGCACGCTCATTTAAAGACACACCAATATGGCTGGGAACCCAACAAAACTCAACCGACTTAAATTTACTGTGAACGAGAAACAGCCAATGCTGGATCTCGACAACTACTGGATGAACCGGATTAAAGGACCCGAGAGCCATGAGGGCACTACGAGAGTCAACAACAACCACAAAGGAAGACTGACAACGAGAAAGCAGGAGACGAGGAGCATAGAGAATAGCATAAAGTTCCGCTGTAAAGATGCTAGTCTCCGGAGGCAAGCGACACATATAAGTGCGATCAGGAAAAACAACAGAGTAGCCAACACCGTCCGCTGACTTAGACCCATCGGTGAAGACAGAAACGGAGCGGGAGTGAGAAGAAAAGTGCTTGAGGAAAAGGCGTTTTAGAACCGTAGGAGGGGTAAAAGCTTTAGTGATACGGGTCAAGGAAGTACAAAACCGCGGAAGAGGGACCCTCCACGAGGGCAAAGAAGGAACAACACGAGGAGAAACATCAGAAATACGAACGGAGAGAGAATCCTGTAGGCGAGATAACCAGACAGAAAGAGGGAGGTGGTGAAGAGGAACAGGAACCGCAGGAGGGGTAAAAGTTAAAGCACGACAGAGGCGAGTGGAAGGATGTTGCAAGGACCGCGCAAGATAGCGAAGACAGCAGCGATCACGGCGGTCCTGGAGAGATAGGAAGCCAGTGTCAACATACAAGCTAAGGATGGGAGTCGAACGAAAGGCACCAGAACTGAGGCGCAACCCAGTATGGTGCAAAGCATCAAGACGGCGAAGAGTAGAAGGAGAAGCAGACGAGTAAGCAGGGCAACCATAATCGAGCTTAGACAGGACGAGAGAGGAATGTAAAGCAAGGAGAGTGCACCTATCTGCGCCCCCAAGAAGTATGGGACAAGACCCGAAGGAGGGTAAGGGCCTTAGAGCACTCAACACGGAGGTAAGAGATATGGGGAGACCAAGACAAACGAGTGTCAAGGAATAACCCCAAAAACCTTCGCGGAATCTTTGTATTCAAGGGGATGACCATAAAGTGACAAAGAGGGACGAAGAACAACCCGTTTCCGCGTAAAAGTCATGGCACAAGTCTTAGAAGTAGAGAACTTGAAGCCATAACCTGTGGCCCAAGACGACACGGCATCAATTGCAAGTTGAAGCCGGCGTTGAAGGAGAGGTGAATCATCACCCTGACAACAAAGGGTAAGATCATCAACATAAAGAGAGGAGAAGACACCAGAAGGAAGAGAGGAAAGAAGACCATTGAGGGCAACCAGAAAAAGAGTAGTGCTCAGAACACTACCCTGGGGCACACCTTCGTATTGCTGAAAAGAGGGAGAGAGAGCGGTACCAAGGCGCACCCGAAAGGAACGACGAGAGAGGAAGCTGCGGAGAAAGAGAGGGAGATGACCACGAAGGCCAAAAGAATGAAGTTGAGATAGGATATGATAACGCCAAGTGGTGTCATAAGCCTTTTCTAGGTCAAAAAGGACGGCAACAACGGAGGTCTTCGCAGCAAAAGCAGTACGAATATAGACCTCCAAGTTCACCAGGACATCTGTCGTGCTGCGGCACTTGCAGAAACCAAATTGAGAAGGGGAGAGGAGGTGATGGTGTTCCAGGAACCACATCAGACGAACGTTAACCATACGTTCAAAGAGTTTGCAGACACAACTTGTGAGAGCAATAGGGCGAAAGTCCTTAGGGGAAGTACCCAGAGACCCCGGTTTGCGAACAAGGACGACAACGGCATCGAGCCAGTCCTCAGGGACTGATGACGACTCCCAGATCCGATCATACAGACTCAGTAAATACTGAGACGTGCTCGGAGGGAGATGGCGAAGCATCTCATAATGAATACCATCGGAGCCCGCCGCCGTAGAACCGCAGAGGGCCAGGGCAGAACGAAGTTCAGAGAGAGAGAAGGGATCATTATAGGGAAGCTGAAGATGAGTGCAGAAATCTAAAGGACGAGACTCAAGGACAGGTTTACGAAGAAGGAAAGATTGGGGAAGATGAAGACCAGAGCTAACAGAAGAAAAGTGGGAACCCAGTTCGGAAGCGACCTGCAACGGGTCCGCCACAAGAGTATCATGGAGGTGAAGGACCGGTGAAACATCGGGAACGAACTTACCCGCTATCTTGCGGATACGCTTCCAGATCTGGGCCAGGGGGATCTCGGACGTAATTGTTGAGACATAAGATGCCCAACATTCACGTTTAGCCGTACGGATGGCCCTACGGGCCACCGCACTCGCTTTCCGAAAGAAAAGAAAAGAATCGGTCGTCTGCCTACGGCGGTGCCTCTTCCAGGCTGCACGCTTACAGCAGACAGCCCGAGCACAGTCCGCATTCCACCAGGGAACGCACTTCCGTGGACCCCGAGAGGAAGAGCGAGGAATAGAGCGGAGGGCAGCGTTGAAGACAGTGTCATGAAAAAGGAGGAGAGCGTGAGAGAGAGGCAGAAGGGAGAGGTCAGAGAGAGCAGCACTGAGGGTAAATAGGGTCCAGTCTGCCTTAGCAAACTGCCACCTAGGGAAAGAGAGGTAAGGGCAAAAAGAGAAAAAGGAAACAAGGATGGGGAAATGATCACTTCCATGGAGGTCATTAAGAACCTGCCACGTGAAATCTAAGAAAAGAGAAGAAGAGCAGAGAGAAAGATCAAGACAAGAAAGGGTGCGAGTCCGAGAGTCCAAATGAGTGGGCTCACCAGAATTCAGAAGAGACAGGGAAGAAGAGAGGAGAAATGGCTCAAGGAGGCGACCCCGGGTATTCGTCAGAACGTCACCCCAAAGAGAATGATGACAATTGAAGTCACCCAGCAGGAGCACAGGCTCCGGCAAGGAGTCTAGGAGGTGTTTCAAATCAGGAAGAGAGAGCGGGACACTCGGGGGGGAGATAAATGGAACAAACTGTGTACCATTTCCCCACAAAGATACGAGCAGCAGAACAATGGAGAGGCGAAGGAAAAAGTAAAGGAACAAAGGGAACATCAGCCGGAATCAAGAGAGCAGAAGAATTAGAAGCCCCAGCAATGGCTGGGGGGGGGGGAGAGAAAGGAATAGCCACGAAAACGACCAGGACGAGCACCAAGCATTGGCTCCTGGAGACAGACACAAAGGGGCGAAAACCGCGAAATCAGAAGTTGGAGTTCGAGGAAATTGGCGTAATAACCTCGAACGTTCCATTGAAGAATGGACCACGACGAGAAGAGAAAGGACAAAAACAGAGAACAAGGAAGAAACAAAGGCGAAAGAGCAACAGAGCACGTTAAAGAATATCAGGGTCGGGATCAGGGTCAGCAAAGTCAGGGTTAGGGGGCATGGGTAAACTGAGCAAAGACGGAGGGAAGGAAACGGGAGAACAGATCAGAGGTGGGCGGGCAGGGTCCGGAGGAGGAGGAGGAGGAGGAGGAAGAGGAGGAGACAACGGAGAGGAGCAGTCAAGGACAGCAGCAGGAAGAGGGGGAGTAGAAAGAGGGGAGCGCACCCCAGCAAGAGC